TATTGCACATATCAATTTAATTTCAAGTATCAATACTTCAATTTCAGTATTATTAGATCATAGTCATCCTACATGACATATAGACCATCAATCACGTATAATCAATCATCCAATACCCAAGATTATATTTAAAAAAAAAAACTCATACGATAACAAATAATCATATTTTTCGAAATTACATATACTAGTACACAAAATAGAAAACTCATATATAATATATGATTCCATAATATCATACGATAGCACACTCATCACATATGATTACATAAGCACGTATTTGACACATAATATTTCAAAACAATTTCCTAACGGGATTCTAAAGATGATGGATATTGAAAATTACCTCTAGGACGCGTGGATAAAGGTTAGTAGTTCCCCGAGTAATCACCTATACGACCTTCGTCTACAATTAAACAAATAAATAGCCTAAATTAGATAATTGTACGACTAACGGAAAAAAAAGAATTGAGCGTAAAATTGATTTGTCACCACCCATAGTCTAATCACCCCAAAAATAGACAACTAGATGAACTAATTGATGAGTCAAACGTGAGATATTATATATCATCATCATCATCATCATCATAATCACCTACCAAACTTTCGAAATCAAGAGCCAGAACATCCACCACAAAGTCTAATTAAGTTGACCAAGGAGAAGATCAGTAAGTAATTAAATAAAGTAGATAGTGATGATCAATTATCAAACCCAACAATGAGGAAAGTGACGAGTTGCTTTCCAAAGTCGATATTTCGGCTTCGAAATTTTTTTTATTTTTTTGAAATCGTAATGATAGTATTAGAAAGATGAAACATATATTTATAAATCAATCTTGAGAGTCTAGAAAGTTCATGGGATAGGATCAAAATTTTAACTGATTTTGTTATTAGCCTTTATCCACCTTTGACTATTTTATTTTATTTTTTTTCCAGTATGCAAAATCGGTTTTTGTAAAATATCCAAAGTCAATTTTTTTTTTTTTTTTTTTTTTTTTTTTTTTTTTTTTTTACAAAATCAGTTTTCGAAAGTTATCCCAAAATCAATTTCTGAAAATTGTCAGTTTTTTTTTTTTTTTTTTTCAAATACGAAAATAATAATAATAATAATAATAATAATAATAATAATAATAATTTTACAATTTGAAAATAATAATTAGTTTTAAAGTTTATTTATTTTTGAAAAGAAATCGTTGACTAAAAAAAATACTCCAAAATTAATACTCCAAAATTTGGGGTATTACATCTACTCCCCCTTAAAACGAAAGTTCGTCCTCGAACTTTAAAATTAGCTCTCAAAAAGTCTCACGCGAAGATAAAAGATCAGTTAGTATTACATTCTACCCCCCTATAAAAGTTTCGACCTCGAAACTTGGCATACCTGGTCGAAAAGTTCCGGGTAACGCTTTTTCATGTCATTCTCAGCTTCCCAAGTTGCTTCTTCAGAATTCTGATTAGACCATAGGACTTTAACTAACTTTACCGCCTTATTTCGGGTACTTCTCGTTTTGGTGTCGAGAATTTTCACAGGGCGTTCTTCAAAAGTTAAGGTCTCATCTAGCTCAATAGTCTCGGGTTGGATAACATGGGTAAGGTCAGATCATGAACATATTTTCGGAGTAGGAAAACATGAAAAACATTGTGAACGTTGGCTAACTCCATGGGTAAGGCTAGTTGATATGCTACCTCTCCAACTCTCTTCAATACTTTCATACGGGCCAATGTATCTAGGACTCAACTTCCCTTTTCTACCAAACCGCATGACTCCCTTGGTAGGTGAAACCTTAAGTAAAGCCTTTTCCCCAACTTCAAATTTCACTATTCTCCTATTCTGGTCTGCATATGACTTTTGTCGATCCTGAGCTGCCTTCATGTTTGCCTGGATAAGCCTAACTTGCTCCGTTGTTTCTTCAATCATTTCTGGCCCCAAAGTCAAAGACTCACTGATATCGCTCCAACACAAGGGACTCCTACATTTTCTCCCATACAACGCTTCATAAGGCGCCATTCCTATACTCGCATGATGGCTATTATTGTATGAAAATTCGATCATAGGTAATCTTTCGTCCCATGTTCCACCAAATTCCATCACACAAGCTCTCAACATGTCCTCCAAGGTCTGAATTGTTCTCTCTGTCTGTCCATCTGTAGCAGGGTGAAACGCTGTGCTAAACTTCAGGATAGTGCCAAATGCTTGCTGAAACATTTCCCAGAACTTTGATAAAAATCTTGGATCTCTGTCGGAAATAATATCTTTAGAAACTCCATGTATCCTCATAATTTCTTTCACATAGGAAGCTGCCAATTGATTCACATTCCAAGTATCCTTTATTGCTATGAATCTTGCTGTTTTTTTTAAACGATCAACTATGACCCATATAGCATTCTTTGTTGCCCTTGTAAGTGGTAATCCCATCACAAAATCCATAGATATAGACTCCCACTTCCATCCTGGCACATCTAACGATTGCAGCTTCCCTCCAGGTCTCATATGTTGTATCTTCACTTTCTGACATGTAAGGCACCTTGTCACAAACTCGGCTACTTCACGCTTCATGTTTGGCCACCAAAAATGTTTCTTAAGATCCTTATAGAGCTTATCTCCTCCTGGGTGTACAAAGTACGGGGTGTTGTGAGATTCTTCTAAAATCTTCCTTTTGAGATCTTCATTTTTAAGAATACACCATCTCCCTTTGTATTTCACTGTTCCACCATCATCTACATCAAACTCAGTTGCCGCTCCTTCTTCTTTCATCTTCCTCACCTTGGTCAACCACTCATCTAGCATTTGCTTCTCACGAATCTCATCATATATGGTAGGTTTGACTGACATTGCATTCAACTGAGCGTTCACTTGGTCATACTCTACAACCTCCAAGTTCAACTTCCTAAATTCTTCACAAAGTTCCTTGGCTAAAATCATCAAGTTCACTGTATGACTTGTCTTCCTACTCAAAGCATCAGCTACCTTGTTCGCCTTTCCTTCGTGATATAGAATGTCTGGGTTGTAATCGGTTAGCACCTCAAGCCATCTCCTTTGCCTCATGTTCAAATGAGTCTGTGTGAATATATATTTAAGACTCTTATGGTCCGTATACACCTTACATCTCACACCATACAAGTAGTGTCTCCAGATCTTGAGAGCAAACACTACAGCTCCTAGCTCCAAATCATGAGTAGGGTAATTCTGTTCATGTTGCTTAAGCTGCCTTGATGCATAAGCTACAACCTTCCCATGTTGCATAAGTACACACCCAAAGCCATTCTTAGATGCGTCACTATAGATTTCAAACCCCTCAGTCCCTGATGGTAAGGTTAAGACTGGTGCTGAGGTGAGTCTTCGCTTCAATTCTTGAAAAGATTGCTCACACCTCTCATCCCACTGAAACTTAGTAGTTTTCTTCATCAAATTTGTTAAGGGTTGAGCTATCCTCGAAAAGTCTTGTACAAATCTCCTATAGTATCCAGCAAGCCCTAAGAAACTTCTCACTTCGGTCACACTTTTGGGTCTTGGCCAATCAGAAACTGCTCGAATCTTAGATGGGTCCACCGCAACTCCTTCCTTTGAGATCACATGGCCTAGAAATGCTACCTTCTCTAGCCAAAATTCACATTTTGAAAATTTGGCATACAACTTCTTCTCTCTAAGAATCTCCAACACTTTTCTTAGATGTTCTTCATGCTCTTCTCTATCCCTCGAGTACACCAAAATATCATCTATGAACACCACCACAAATTTATCTAAATATGGCTGAAAATTTCTATTCATGAGATCCATAAAAGTTGCCGGCGCATTAGTGAGTCCAAAAGGCATAACAGTGAACTCATAATGTCCGTATCTTGTGCGAAATGCTGTCTTTGGTACATCTTCCTCAGCAATCCTCAACTGGTGGTATCCTTTCCTCAAGTCAATTTTTGAGAATATCCCAGCACCTTTAAGCTGATCAAACAAGTCCTCGATCCTAGGCAATGGATATTTGTTCTTTATAGTGACATTATTCAACTCTCGGTAGTCAATACACAACCTTAAGGATCCGTCCTTCTTTCTTACAAACAAAATCGGTGCTCCCCAAGGTGAAACACTTGGCCTTATATAACCCTTCACCAGCAACTCCTCCAACTGTACCTTCAATTCTTTCATCTCTGCTGGTGCCATTCTATATGGTGCTTTAGAAATAGCTCCAGTCCTAGGCACTAAGTCTATTTTGAAATCCATCTCCCTAACCGGCGGCATCCCTGGAATTTTCATTTGGAAACACATCTTGGAATTCTCTCACCACTTGAATGTTCTCTATGGATTTCTCTTCTACACTCACATCTTGCACATGGCATAAATAAATAGGGTATCCCTTTCGGATATAAGAATGAAAAGTCATGGCTGACACAATACTGATCCCTGGTTTTGACACAACCCCCTGGTAAGAGATTCTATTCCCTCTTGGCCCCCTAAGAGACACCTTTTGGGTATGACACTCAATTTTAGCCTTGTATTTACTAAGCCAATCCATCCCCAATATCACATCAAAGTCAGTTAAGTCAAACTGAATAAGGTTTGCAAGCAACACAGTTCCAGCAATGTTAACTGGAATGTCTTGGTATAGGGATCTACAAGGAACTACCTCCCCTGAAGGAATTGTTATATTGGTTTGACACAAGGATGAAGCTTTTAAAGCATGTTAATTCACAAAAGAAGTGGCTACAAAAGAATGAGATGCCCCAGAATCAAAAAGTAAGTAAGCAGGTTTTGAGTTCACGAGAAAAGTACCCGTCACAACGTCGGCATTAGAGTCAATCTCACTCTGGTTCATGACATAAATTCTTCCATTACTGGTCCTACCACTGCCATTGTGGTTGCTTCTTCCGCCGTTGTTGTTGCTTTGGCCATTCCCTCCTTGAGCATTGCCATTTTAGCCCTGAGAATTGTTGTTGTTGAAGCGGTTGTTGTAGTTTGAGTTCCTCCCGTAACCACCTCCCTTATTACCATTATTGTTACCTTGCCCATTCTAAGCTTGATTATTGCCATTCTGCTTCTTTGGGCACTCAAATTTCTTGTGACCAACCTCCCCACATTCAAAGCAAGTAAGCAAATCTCCATTGCAGTTGCGTCCTGGATGGCTCTTGTCACATTTACGGCATGGTCGGTTGCGAGATCCTTGCTGATTCTGTTTCCCCTGGCCTCGGTGATTATTGCTTTGATTGTTGTTGTTACGGCCTCCCTGCTGACCAATTCCACCATTCCTATTGCTATTACCCCCTAGGCGTGGTCTCTTGTCATAACCTTGAGGGTTCGATGAACTCTCACCATTCCCTTTCCTCTTATGCCTATCCTTGACCTCCTGCTCACGTTTCAAAATCCTTTCAATATTACAAGCTCTATCATAGGCCTCTTTATAAGTAGCAGCAGTACCAGCCCCGATCACCTTCTTTTGGATCCTAAAAGTCAGTCCATCTTCAAACTCTGAGCCTTGGATCTCTCATCAAGCACTACATTAGGACAAAACCTTGCGTACTCATTAAATTTCTCAGCATACTCCTGCACACTCATACCAGTTGTTTGGTTAAACCTACTAAACTCACTGTATTTCTGCCTCTTGATATGCTCAGGAAAGAAACGGTCCCTAATTGTTGTCTTAAAAGCATCCCAGTTAAAATTCTGTTGAGCTCTTATGGTGGCTCCTTCATTTTCCCACCAAATATCAGCAGCCTCACGTAAATAGAATGTGGCTTGATCCACCTTCTGAGCATCAGGGGTACTAGCAGCGGTGAAAATCTTGTCAAAGTCACGTACCCAGTTCTCAACCAACATGGGATCTTCCTTCCCCATAAATAGCGGAGGTTTCAATGCAGCAAGTTTCTTAGCCATAGCAGCTTGAGGGTCGTTGTCATTATTGTTGTGGTTGTTGTTGTTATTCAGCTGGTTTTGCAACAACATTCCAAGGTTCTGGTTCATTTGCTCAAGAGCTCTTAACCTAGCAGCAAGTTGTTCAGGAGTCTCAGCCATTTGCGCAATTCTTCTCCAACGAGACCTGGTGTAAACGTGGTAATTTTGCATACACAGTTTGCACAATTTCAACACTGGTGTTACCACCATACACATTTTAACACGACTTATTTAGATAGTGTGAATTGCAATTAAATAATCAACCACGACATGCTTCCATGTAACACATCAGCACATATAGAGACAAGAATTAAGCGATTTATTAAACCTTAATAACATTCAAAGAGTCGGCCAAATTCCAAACCAAATAATGCATCAACTTAGCATTAGACTATAAATTCGCGCATTGCTTTGTGATTTCACTATCACCCGACCAAGTCATTACTAGTCTTGACTAAAGTAAGCATAAGAAAATAAGAGCTTTGGCCTATATAAATGCAATAGATAGAAAAGAAAAAAAAATGAATTGATTTTGATTAATAATCATAAAATAGCAAGGTATAAATATATTAATCAAAATTATTTTATTGCAAAACCAGAATACTAGTACTAAATAGCTCAATAAACTACTAGTTACAAATAAACCAAAACTATAGTTCCTAGTCATAAGAAACTAACTTTTATTTGTAAAACTAATATATAAAAATTTTAACCAAATAAACTAAACGTAGCTTTTAAAAAAAAAAAAATGGATAATTCAATTACTATTTTCCCTCTCACGAGCTTCACTTTCCTGGGGCTCATCCTCCTCCTCATCATCCAAGTTATAGTCAAAGTCTCGCTTGGCTTCCATCATTGCCTTCTCAAGGTAGTCCACAGTAGGGATCCATTGTTCATCATAATAATACTTATCATTCGGTTTACCATTAATGTATAAGTCAACATACTTCTTTGTAAGTTGAGCATAGGGTCCCTTCCCAATTAACGTGTGTAGAAGGATTTGAGATCGCCTCTCTGGAGTGAGATAATCAGATTGGCCCCCAAGTATATTGTAATGAAAGTGCTCAATGCAGATATTTAAGCGGTACACGTAATGTCGAATATTTTCATTATAATTCATACGAATCCCGTAAAGAGAATCAGGTAATAAATGTGTACTCTTCCTAGCACTCGACTTTCTTACGGTTTTAAGTACTCGTACCATCTAATAAAAGAAAATAAATAATCACATAATAAGTATTAAATAAAAGTACTATAAAACACATAAATCCCTTATCGTGATTCCCACACTCACGGCTTTCCTAAGCTTAAATCAATTTTAAACTTATATACAAATTTTAAACCTAAGTCTTTAATTTAATTCATTTTAGTCCCTAAATTTTGAAAAACCTGGGCTCTGATACGAATTTGTAACACCCCCAAAATTCGAGTCTTTAAAACAATAAGAGTAACCTTTAACTTTCAAAAAACCCAACCATCGAACTCTGGAGGTGTTACTGCTACACTTATTTTCCGTAGAAAATAAATGCAAAGCAAAATAACATAATGTTTAAAATAACTAAGTGGTCTAAGTGTGGCAAATAAAATAGTCATTACATCAAACAACAATTATTTGAAGCCAATAACTGCGAGGAAATAATTAAATTCGGGGATAAACTAAATTGTCTTAGCTACGAGATTATTCTAACGTCTCCTCACACGTAACCGAGTACCCTTTCTACCAACCTGCAAAATAAATCAGAAACAAGAAAAGAGAGAAAACTCCCAAAAATCAGATAAACTGAGTAATTCCAACTCCATCCCGTAAAATAAATAAATTTTAGTTTAAAACAGTTTATACATAATATAGTCTCATAAATATTTTAACACTCAACCAAGTTCAAATAGTCACATAACATATTATTACTTTATTTAAGAAAGGGAAAGAGAACGCCAGTAAGCCGGGACTAGTCCCTGTCACCACCTACTTTACAGAGGAGAAATCGTTGACTAAAAAAATACTCCAAAATTAATACTCCAAAATTTGGGATATTACATCTACTCCCCCTTAAAACGAAAGTTCGTCCTCGAACTTTAAAATTAGCTCTCAAAAAGTCTCACGCGAAGATAAAAGATCAGTTAGTATTACATTTACCATGGTCCCTAATACCCTCCTAGAGTCAAAATTGGTGGGTGAAATCATCCAATTTGCCTTTAAACGACCGATTTACTGATTTACAACTTGCACTGATTTCATTAACTCAAGCCTACCACGAACATTTATGACAACAAATAATGATTACATTTGGTACCAAACGACATTATATGACTTCGAGATATGTTTCCTTTAATTTCAAGACATTTAGACACCGGGCCCCGAAGACTCCAAAATTTCTCAAAAAGGTGGATATTAGCCTTCAATCTTTGATTTTTTTTGACTTTTTTTCGCTCGAAAATAAAAATATCTTTAACGTTAACCATGGTCCCTAATTACCTCCGGGAGTCTAATTAGATGGGTGGAACCATCCAATTTGCCTTTAAATGACCAATTTATCGTTTTACAACTTACATCGATTTCATTAACTCAAGCCTACCACGAACACTTATGAAAACAAAAAATGATTATATATGATTCCAAATGATATTATATGACATCGAGATATATTCCCTAAAATTTCAAGACTTTTCAACGCCGGACCTTGAAACCTCCAAAATTTCTCAAAAAACATGGATATTAGACTTCAATTTTGGAATTTTTAACTTTTTTTCGCCCGAAAATAAATATTGCCGAAATTTTTACCATGGTCCCTATACCCTACGAAAGTCCAATTAGTTGGTGAAACCATCCAATTTGCCTTTAAACGACCAATTTATCGATTTACAACTTGCACTGATTTCATTAACTCAAGCCAACCACGAACATTTATGACCACATATAATGATCATATATGGTTCCAAAGGACATTATATGACCCCGAGATTTATCCCCTAGAATTTCAAGACTTTTTGACACAGGGTCCCAAAACATCAAAATTTTCGGAAAATGCGTGGATATTAAACTTCAATTTTGGAATTTTTTGACTTTTTTTCGCCCGAAAATAAAAATTGGCGTAATGTTTACAATGTTCCCTAATACCCTCTGGGATTCCACCTGGCTAGGTGCAACCATCTAATTTGCCTCAAAACAGCCGAGTTATCGGTTTACAACTTGCACCGATTTCATTAACTCAAGTCTACAACAAACATTTATGACAACAAATAATGATCATATATGGTTCAAAACGACATTATATGACCTTGAAATGTATTCCCTAAAATTTCTAAACTTTTCGACACCGGACCCTGAAACCTCCAAAATTTCTCAAAAAGCGTGAATATATTAGACTTTAATTTTGGAATTTTTTAACTTTTTTTCGCCCGGGAATTAAAATTGCCGAAATGCTTACCATGGTCCCCAATACCCTCCGGGAGTCCATTTGGGTGGGTGGAACCATCCAATTTGCCTTTAAACGGCCAATTTATTGATTTACAATTTGCATCGATTTCATTAACTCAAGCCTACAACGAACATTTGTGACAACATATAATGATTATATATGGTTCCAAACGGCATTATATGACGCCGATATGTATTCTCTAAAATCTCAAGGCTTTTTGACACCGGGCTCCGAAACCTCCAAAATTTCTCAATAAGCGTGGATATATGCCTTCAACTTTGGAATTTTTTTACCTTTTTTTTCGCCTGGATATATAAATTGGAAAAATAGTTACTATGTTCCCTAATACCCTCCGAGAGTCCAAATTTGTGGCTGAAACCATCCAATTTGCCTTTAAACGACCATTTTACTGATTTATAACTTGCACCGATTTTATTAACTCAAGCCTACCACAAACATTTATGACAACAAATAATGATTACATATGGTACCAAACGACATTATATGACTCCGAGATATATTACCTTGAATTTCAAGACTTATAGACACCGGACCCAGAAGACTCCAAAATTTCTTAAAAAGGTGAATATTAGCCTTCAATCTTTGAATTTTTTGACTTTTTTTTCACCCGTAATAAAAATTGACGAAATGTTTATCATGGTTCCTAATACTCTCCGCGAGTTCAATTGGGTGGTTGGAACCATCCAATATGCCTTTAAACGACAATTTACCGGTTTACATCTTGCACCGATTTCATTAACTCAGGCCTACCACGAACATTTATGACAACATATAATGATTATATATGATTCCAAACGGCATTATATGACCCTGAGATAAATACCTTAAAATTTCAAGGCTTTTCAACACCGAGCCTCGAAATCTCCAAAATTTCTCAAAAAGCATGGATCTAAGCCTTTAATTTTGGAAATTTTTGACATTTTTCGTTCGAAAATAAAAATTGCCGAAATGTTTACCATGGTCTCCAATACCCTTCGGGAGTCCAATTGGGTGGGTTGAACCATCCAATTTGTCTTTAAAAGACCAATTTACCGGTTTAAAACTAACTTGCACCAATTTCATTAAATCAAGCCTACCACGAACATTTATGACAACATATAATGATCATATATGGTTCCAAATGGAATTATATGACCCCGAGATGTATCTCCTAAAATTTCAAGGCTTTTAGACACTGGGCCCTGAAACCTCCAAAATTTCTCAAAAAACATGGATATTATCCCTTAATTTTGGTATTTTTTGACTTTTTTTTGCCCGGAAATAAAAATTCCCTAAATGTTTACCATGGTCCCTAATACCTCCGGGAGTCTAATTGGGTGGGTGTAACTATTCAATTTCCCTTCAAACGGCCAATTTACCGGTTTACAACTTGTACCGATTTCATTAAATCAAGCCTACCACAAACAATACAATATATAATGATCATATATGGTTTCAAACGACATTATATGACCTCGAGATGTATCCCCTAAAATTTTAAGGCTTTTCGACACTGGGCCTCGAAACCTCCAAAATATCTGAAAAAGCGTGGATTTTAGCCTTCAATTTTGAAAGTTTTTTACTTTTATTATTCGCTCGGAAATAATAATTGCCGAAATGTTTATCATGGTCCCTTATATCCTACGGGAGTTCAATTGGGTGGGTATAACCATCCAATTTCCCTTTAATCAACCAATTTATCGG